CACCAGCAGTAGCTGTCAGGAATTCCAGGAAATATCCCGTTTTACCATTAAATACATTTCTAGTATGTTAAGAGAGATAATACACTTTAGTCGTTAGCTTACATTTAGTGTCAATGGTTGAGTGGCGGGCCTAACCATTCTATTGGACCATCTTTACAAGCCTTACCAGGAATGGAGCGTAAGACAAGGCTTAAGTGCAACTCCTTGGCCAAGCGTCTTTTCAAGCCTTTTCAAGCCATTTCTAACCCCAACCCTAAGCTGTACATGATGTGAAAGGAAACCTGATTCCTCAGACCAAGCCACCTTCTTACTGCTCAAGGGTGCAACGGTTAATACACATCATTTAATAAAAACTCCCTAAGATGTTAAGAGGAACAAACCTTGAGAGGAACCAGAATCAGAAGGGAACCTATCCTCATATGGGTAACATCAGATAGTGTGAAATAGATGATTATGGATTCATATGGAGTCTCTTTGGCCTTAGAAGCAGCTGTAGTCCCAGCAATCTGGAATTGGAGTAGATGAGAGCTCCATCCAGAGGTAGGCCATCCAAAATGGATCAGGTAGGTCCAGAGAACAGAGAGGATCAGGATCTCTAGTATCTCCATAAAATCGGGTGCGGCTCGACAGAAGGAGAGAGGGAGAGAAAAAAAACTAAGACTTGGCCTAGCATAAGAGAAAGTCTAGTCAGGGTAGGCTTGATTAAACAAATACGATTAAAGCCTAGACACTGAGACTGTGCCTGAGTCCCGAACTCTAATTGGAAGACTGTTCCATTAGTGTGGGGCTCCAGAAGAGAAAGCTCATCCTCCTGTTGTAGCCTTCGCTATTCGAGGTACGAACAAATAGCCTGCATCTTTTGATCTAAGTAGCGCGTGGCGATCATAGAAAACCAAAAGGTCGCTTAGATACCGCGGCGGGAGCCCATTTAGTTAATTATGGGTTACTAATAGTATTTTATAATATAAAGTATTTTATAGTTATCTTTGATAAGTGAGCTAGCAAACGAGATCGATTTTCTATTCGAATTTTGCTCTTCACAAGCAAAGCGGCAAAGGGATTTAAGGAAACACTGGACTATTTTTTCTGGAGCCAATAAACGTGTTTGTGCATCTTTATATTCTCATGTTTCTGCCCCTCTTCAATACATTTACTTCAATTAAGTAACTAGACCATTTACAACTTTACATGTACACATTCGATTCAGTTCAAATCAATTTTATTTGTGTAGCGCTTTTTACAGTGGACATTGTCTCAAAGCAGGATTCGTTTGACTTCCTTTACGTCAATGCAATTTCCCAGGATGGAAGATGTGTTTGGCACGAGCTTGTTTGATGAATGCCAAGGTGCTTTGTTGCTCATCTTCATAAAGATTCTCTGCATTAAGACTCAGGTTCATAGCAGGCTTCAACTTGCACAGGTAAAGCCCCAGTGCAGTTCAAGTCCAGTGCCATATTCTGTTGGCCATCACGGGTATGGGGCACAGGACAAGGCTTAAGTGCAATTTCTTGGATCATTTATGGTTTTATCGTTTATGTTTTGATGCTATCCAAAGTGCCAACCGTCTTTCCGAGCATAAGTAGGATTTCCTCGTTAGTATAGTGGACAGTATCTCCGCCTGTCACGCGGAAGACCGGGGTTCGATTCCCCGACGGGGAGTCTGTTTGCTAACACCTGTCCCTATTCTTTTGCACACCACGCGAATGAACCATGAGACAAGGCTTAAGTGCAATTCCTTGGCTCATTTATGTTTTGGTCATTTCCAACGTGCCAAGCGTCTTTACAAGCCTTACCAGGAATGGAGCGTAAGACAAGGCTTAAGTGCAACTCCTTGGCCAAGCGTCTTTTCAAGCCTTTTCAAGCCATTTCTAACCCCAACCCTAAGCTGTACATGATGTGAAAGAAAACGTGATTCCTCAGACCAAGCCACCTTCTTACTGCTCAAGGGTGCAACGGTTAATACACATCATTTAATACTAGACGTAAAACACAGTTACAAAACATTTAACTCAAAGGAGCTACTCCACTCACCAGCGGTAGCAGTCAGGAATTCCAGGAAATATCCCGTTTTACCATTAAATACATTTCTAGTATGTTAAGAGAGATAATACACTTTAGTCGTTAGCTTACATTTAGTGTGAATGGTTGAGCGGCGGGCCTAACCATTCTATTGGACCGTCTTTACAAGCCTTAGCAGGAATGGAGCGTAAGACAGGGCTTAAGTGCAACTCCTTGGCCAAGCGTCTTTACAAGCCTTACCAGGAATGGAGCGTAAGACAAGGCTTAAGTGCAACTCCTTGGCCAAGCGTCTTTTCAAGCCTTTTCAAGCCATTTCTAACCCCAACCCTAAGCTGTACATGATGTGAAAGAAAACGTGATTCCTCAGACGTAAAACACAGTTACAAAACATTTAACTCAAAGGAGCTACTCCACTCACGAGCGGTAGCAGTCAGGAATTCCAGGAAATATCCCATTTTACCATTAAATACATTTCTAGTATGTTAAGAGAGATAATACACTTTAGTCGTTAGCTTACATTTAGTGTGAATGGTTGAGCGGCGGGCCTAACCATTCTATTGGACCGTCTTTACAAGCCTTAGCAGGAATGGAGCGTAAGACAAGGCTTAAGTGCAACTCCTTTACTGCTTTACAAGCTTACAGGAATGGAGCGTAAGACAAGGCTTAAGTGCAACTCCTTGGCCAGCCGTCTTTTCTAGCCTTTTCAAGCCATTTTTAACCCCAACCCTATGCTGTACATGATGTGAAAGAAAAACGTGGATTCATAAGACCAAGCCACCTTCTTACTGCTCCATTGTCCTGTGCTGATGCTCATGTGCCCTTTCTATGAGCTTTTGATGGAAGAAACCTGCCAGCATAGCTAGTGTAGAGGCCACCATTTTCTTGGTTGCCGTCCCTGGTTGTCTAGTGGTAAGGATTCGGCGCCTCACCGCGCGGCCAAGGTTCGATTCCCGCCAGGGAATGTTGCTTTATCCACCGGCGGCCAAATTAACATTTAAAAAGAAACCATATCACACAGAGAAATCCGTCCCTTCGGAGCCGGATACGGAGCAAACCTGAGAATGACTAGTTTAAGTACTACCGGAATGGAGCGTAAGACAAGGCTTAAGTGCAACTCCTTGGCCAAGCGCCTTTTGCGCCTTTTCAAGCCATTTCTAACCCCAACCCTAAGCTGTACATGATGTGAAAGAAAACGTGATTCCTCAGACCAAGCCACCTTCTTACTGCTCAAGGGTGCAACGGTTAATACACATCAGTTAATACTTGACGTAAAACACAGTTACAAAACATTTAACTCAAAGGAGCTACTCCACTCACCAGCGGTAGCAGTCAGGAATTCCAGGAAATATCCCGTTTTACCATTAAATACATTTCTAGTATGTTAAGAGAGATAATACACTTTAGTCGTTAGCTTACATTTAGTGTGAATGGTTGAGTGGGGGCCTAACCATTCTATTGGACCATCTTTACAAGCCTTACCAGGAATGGAGTGTAAGACAAGGCTTAAGTGCAACTCCTTAAGGCGCCTCTTTTCAAGCCTTTTCAAGCCATTTCTAACACCAACCCTAAGCTGTACATGATGTGAAAGAAAACGTGATTCCTCAGACCAAGCCACCTTCTTACTGCTCAAGGGTGCAACGGTTAATACACATCATTTAATACTAGACGTAAAACACAGTTACAAAACATTTAACTCAAATGAGCTACTCCACTCACCAGCGGTAGCAGTCAAGAATTCCAGGAAATATCCCGTTTTACCATTAAATACATTTCTAGTATGTTAAGAGAGATAATACACTTTAGTCGTTAGCTTACATTTAGTGTGAATGGTTGAGCCGGAGCCTAACCATACTATTGGACCGTCTTTACAAGCCTTAGCAGGAATGGAGCGTAAGACAAGGCTTAAGTGCAACTCCTTGGCCGCGCCTTTTTCAAGCCTTTTCAAGCCATTTCTAACCCCAACCCTAAGCTGTACATGATGTGAAAGGAAACGTGATTCCTCAGACCAGCCACCTTCTTACTGCTCAAGGGTGCAACGGTTAATACACATCATTTAATACTAGACGTAAAACACAGTTACAAAACATTTAACTCAAAGGAGCTACTCCACTCACCAGCGGTAGCAGTCAGGAATTCCAGGAAATATCCTGTTACCATTAAATACATTTCTAGTATGTTAAGAGAGATAATACACTTTAGTCGTTAGCTTACATTTAGTGTGAATGGTTGAGCGCGGGCCTAACCATTCTATTGGACCGTCTTTACAAGCCTTAGCAGGAATGGAGCGGAAGACAAGGCTTAAGTGCAACTCTTGGCCAAGCGGCTTTACAAGCCTTACCAGGAATGGAGCGTAAGACAAGGCTTAAGTGCAACTCCTTCCCAAGCGTCTGCTTTTTCAAGCCTTTTCCAGCCATTTTTAACCCCAACCCTAAGCTGTACATGATGTGAAAGAAAACGTGATTCCTCAGACCAAGCCACCTTTTTGGGGGGGGGGGAAAAAAAAAAAATAATAATAGGGGCAAAACACAGTTACAAAACATTTAACTCAAAGGAGCTACTCCACTCACCAGCGGTAGCAGTCAGGAATTCCAGGAAATATCCCGTTTTACCATTAAATACATTTCTAGTATGTTAAGAGAGATAATACACTTTAGTCGTTAGCTTACATTTAGTGTGAATGGTTGAGCGGCGGGCCTAACCATTCTATTGGACCGTCTTTACAAGCCTTAACAGGAATGGAGCGTATGACAGGGCTTAAGTGCAACTCCTTGGCCAAGCGTCTTTTCAAGCCTTTTCAGGCCATTTCTAACCCCAACCCTATGCTGTACATGATGTGAAAGAAAACGTGATTCATAAGACCAAGCCATCTTCTTACTGCTCCATTGTCCTGTGCTGATGCTCATGTGCCGTTTCTATGAGCTTTTGATGGAAGAAACTGGCCAGCATAGCTAGTGTAGAGGCCACCATTTTCTTGGTTGCCGTCCCTGGTTGTCTAGTGGTAAGGATTCGGCGCTCTCACCGCCGGCGCCGGGTCTGATTCCGCCAGGGAATGTAGTTTTATCCACCGCCTCCAAATTAACATTTAAAAAGAAACCATATCACACAGAGAAATCCGTCCTTCGAGCCGGATACGAACCAGCAACCTGAGAATGACTAGTTTAATTACCTACAGGAATGGAGCGTAAGACAAGGCTTAAGTGCAACTCCTTGGCCAAGCGTCTTTTCAAGCCTTTTCAAGCCATTTCTAACCCCAACCCTAAGCTGTACATGATGTGAAAGAAAACGTGATTCCTCAGACCAAGCCACCTTCTTACTGCTCAAGGGTGCAACGGTTAATACACATCAGTTAATACTTGACGTAAAACACAGTTACAAAACATTTAACTCAAAGGAGCTACTCCACTCACCAGCGGTAGCAGTCAGGAATTCCAGGAAATATCCCGTTTTACCATTAAATGACAGTTCAAGCTTAAGCTACAATATGTTAAGAGATACATTTATGGTTTTATCGTTTATAAGTTTTGATGCTATCCAAAAGTGCCAAACCAGTCTCTTCCATAGTACAAGCTAGGATTTCCTGTTAGTATAGTGACAGTATCTCTGCCTGTCGCAACCGTCTTAGCCTTTCGAGCCATTTCTAACCCCAACCCTAAGCTGTACATGATGTGAAAGAAAACGTGATTCCTCAGACCAAGCCACCTTCTTACTGCTCAAGGGTGCAACGGTTAATACACATCATTTAATACTGACGTAAAACACAGTTACAAAACATTTAACTCAAAGGAGCTACCCCCCCAACCCGGTAGCAGTCAGGAATTCCAGGAAATATCCCGTTTTACCATTAAATACATTTCTAGTATGTTAAGAGAGATAATACACTTTAGTCGTTAGCTTACATTTAGTGTGAATGGTTGAGTGGCGGGCCTCAACCATTCTATTGGACCGTCTTTACAAGCCTTAGCAGGAATGGAGCGTAAGACAAGGGGCTTAAGTGCAACTCCTTGGCCAAGCGTCTTTTCAAGCCTTTTCAAGCCATTTCTAACCCCAACCCTAAGCTGTACATGATGTGAAAGAAAACGTGATTCCTCAGACCAAGCCACCTTCTTACTGCTCATTGTCCTTTTGATGCTCATGTGCCCTTTCTATGAGCTTTTGATGGAAGAAACTGGCCAGCATAGCTAGTGTAGAGGCCACCATTTTCTTGGTTGCCGTCCCTGGTTGTCTAGTGGTAAGGTTCCTTCACCGCGCCGTTCATTCCCCATGTTGTTTTATCCACCGCAATTAACATTTTATACACAGTCTTCAACGGATACAAACCAGCAACCTGGAATGACTAGTTTAAGTACTACAGGAATGGAGCGTAAGACAAGGCTTAGTGCAACTCCGCGCCTTTTCAAGCCGTTTCAAGCCATTTCAACCCAAACCTAAGCTGTACATGATGTGAAAGAAAACGTGATTCCTCAGACCAAGCCACCTTCTTACTGCTCAAGGGTGCAACGGTTATAACACATCTCAGTTAATACTTGACGAAAACACACGTTACAAAACATTTAACTCAAAGGAGCTACTCCACTCACCAGCAGTAGCTGTCAGGAATTCCAGGAAATATCCCGTTTTACCATTAAATACATTTCTAGTATGTTAAGAGAGATAATACACTTTAGTCGTTAGCTTACATTTAGTGTCAATGGTTGAGTGGCGGGCCTAACCATTCTATTGGACCATCTTTACAAGCCTTACCAGGAATGGAGCGTAAGACAAGGCTTAAGTGCAACTCCTTGGCCAAGCGTCTTTTCAAGCCTTTTCAAGCCATTTCTAACCCCAACCCTAAGCTGTACATGATGTGAAAGGAAACCTGATTCCTCAGACCAAGCCACCTTCTTACTGCTCAAGGGTGCAACGGTTAATACACATCATTTAATAAAAACTCCCTAAGATGTTAAGAGGAACAAACCTTGAGAGGAACCAGAATCAGAAGGGAACCTATCCTCATATGGGTAACATCAGATAGTGTGAAATAGATGATTATGGATTCATATGGAGTCTCTTTGGCCTTAGAAGCAGCTGTAGTCCCAGCAATCTGGAATTGGAGTAGATGAGAGCTCCATCCAGAGGTAGGCCATCCAAAATGGATCAGGTAGGTCCAGAGAACAGAGAGGATCAGGATCTCTAGTATCTCCATAAAATCGGGTGTGGCTCGACAGAAGGAGAGAGGGAGAGAAAAAAAACTAAGACTTGGCCTAGCATAAGAGAAAGTCTAGTCAGGGTAGGCTTGATTAAACAAATACGATTAAAGCCTAGACACTGAGACTGAGTCCCGAACTCTAATTGGAAGACTGTTCCATTAGTGTGGGGCTCCAGAAGAGAAAGCTCATCCTCCTGTTGTAGCCTTCGCTATTCGAGGTACGAACAAATAGCCTGCATCTTTTGATCTAAGTAGGCGTGGCGGATCATAGAAAACCAAAAGGTCGCTTAGATACTGCGGCGCGAGACCATTTAGTTAATTATGGGTTACTAATAGTATTTTATAATATAAAGTATTTTATAGTTATCTTTGATAAGTGAGCTAGCAAACGAGACCGATTTTCTTTTGAATTTTGCTCTTCACAAGCAAAGCGGCAAAGGGATTTAAGGAAACACTGGACTATTTTTTCTGGAGCCAATAAACGTGTTTGTGCATCTTTATATTCTCATGTTTCTGCCCCTCTTCAATACATTTACTTCAATTAAGTAACTAGACCATTTACAACTTTACATGTACACATTCGATTCAGTTCAAATCAATTTTATTTGTGTAGCGCTTTTTACAGTGGACATTGTCTCAAAGCAGGATTCGTTTGACTTCCTTTACGTCAATGCAATTTCCCAGGATGGAAGATGTGTTTGGCACGAGCTTGTTTGATGAATGCCAAGGTGCTTTGTTGCTCATCTTCATAAAGATTCTCTGCATTAAGACTCAGGTTCATAGCAGGCTTCAACTTGCACAGGTAAAGCCCCAGTGCAGTTCAAGTTCAGTGCCATATTCTGTTGGCCATCACGGGTATGGGGCACAGGACAAGGCTTAAGTGCAATTTCTTGGATCATTTATGGTTTTATCGTTTATGTTTTGATGCTATCCAAAGTGCCAACCGTCTTTCCGAGCATAAGTAGGATTTCCTCGTTAGTATAGTGGACAGTATCTCCGCCTGTCACGCGGAAGACCGGGGTTCGATTCCCCGACGGGGAGTCTGTTTGCTAACACCTGTCCCTATTCTTTTGCACACCACGCGAATGAACCATGAGACAAGGCTTAAGTACAATTCCTTGGCTCATTTATGTTTTGGTCATTTCCAACGTGCTGCCGCAGCGTCTTTACAAGCCTTACCAGGAATGGAGCGTAAGACAAGGCTTAAGTGCAACTCCTGCGCCAAGCCCTCTTTTCAAGCCTTTTCAAGCCATTTCTAACCCCAACCCTAAGCTGTACATGATGTGAAAGAAAACGTGATTCCTCAGACCAAGCCACCTTCTTACTGCTCAAAGGTGCAACGGTTAATACACATCAGTTAATACTTGACGTAAAACACAGTTACAAAACATTTAACTCAAAGGAGCTACTCCACTCACCAGCGGTAGCAGTCAGGAATTCCAGGAAATATCCCGCTTTTACCATTAAATACAATTCTAGTATGTTAAGAGAGATAATACACTTTAGTCGTTAGCTTACATTTAGTGTGAATGGTTGAGTGGGGCCCTAACCATTCTATTGGACCGTCTTTACAAGCCTTACCAGGAATGGAGCGTGTAAGACAAGGCTTAAGTGCAACCTCCCTGGCCGAGCGTCTTTTCAAGCCTTTTCAAGCCATTTCTAACCCCAACCCTAAGCTGTACATGATGTGAAAGAAAACGTGATTCCTCAGACCAAGCCACCTTCTTACTGCTCAAGGGTGCAACGGTTAATACACATCAGTTAATACTTGACGAAAAACACAGTTACAAAACAACATTTTAACTCAAAGGAGCTACTCCACTCACCAGCGGTAGCAGTCAGGAATTCCAGGAAATATCCCTGCTTTACCATTAAATACAATTCTAGTATGTTAAGAGAGATAATACACTTTAGTCGTTAGCTTACATTTAGTGTGAATGGTTGAGTGGCGGGCTAACCATTCTATTGGACCGCCTCTTTACAAGCCTTACCAGGAATGGAGTGTAAGACAGGTCTTAAGTGCAACTCTGGCAGCGCTCTTCAAGCCTTTTCAAGCCATTTCTAACCCCAACCCTAAGCTGTACATGATGTGAAAGAAAACGTGATTCCTCAGACCAAGCCACCTTCTTACTGCTCCATTGTCCTTTGCTGATGCTCATGTGCCCTTTCTATGAGCTTTTGATGGAAGAAACTGCCAGCATAGCTAGTGTAGAGGCCACCATTTTCTTGGTGTTCGTCCCTGTTGTCTAGTGGTAAGGATTGTGCTCTACCGCTGCGCCTGGCTTCCATTCCCAGTGGAATGGTGTTTTATCCACCGCACAAATTAACATTTAAAAGAACCATATCACACAGAGAAACTTCCTTCGAGCCAGATTCGAACCAGCGACTTGAGGATGACTAGTTTAAGTACCTACAGTCCTCCGCTCTACCAACTGAGCTACCGAAGGTGATGAAAAGCTTAATTCATGTATATCTATAAAACCATTCGGTATATCGATATATACGGTTCCTAATGTGTCCCAACTGAGCAAGCCACTAAGTGGTGACGGTGGCAAGGAAAAACTCCCTAAGATGTTAAGAGGAACAAACCTTGAGAGGAACCAGAATCAGAAGGGAACCTATCCTCATCTGGGTAACATCAGATAGTGTGAAAAAGCTGATTATGGATTCATATGGAGTCTCTTTGGCCTTAGAAGCAGCTGTAGTCCCAGCAATCTGGAATTGGAGTAGATGAGAGCTCCATCCAGAGGTAGGCCATCCAAAATGGATCAGGTAGGTCCAGAGAACAGAGAGGATCAGGATCTCTAGTATCTCCATAAAATCGTGTGTGGCTCGACAGAAGGAGAGAGGGAGAGAAAAAAAAAC